CAGAACCCTCAAGCAGTTGACCAACCTGAAATGCAGCCACTAATGGAAGCTGACCACCCCAAATGTAGAGTTGGTGCTTTGGACAAATCTTTACCATTCATAGCAGCTAGAATATCAACTGGTAGAAACAATAATATTATTCTATAGTGCCGTGGTCTTTTGGCCTACAACTCCCATAAATCCCAGCCAGTTTACTAGCTGTGAGGGTTTCTGGGAGTTGAAGGCTAAAACATCTGGGGACTCACAGGTTGAGAACCACTGGTATAGCACAACATGTCTTCAGATTGACCCAAGATGCCCTTCATCCATTATTTCCTTCTCCTATGCACAATGGAAAAACAGCTTCCCCCCTTCATCACCTTATAAGTATTTAATTATTGCATGCCATAGCATTGAGAGCACTTACTCTTTGTGGCATATTTCAGCACTCCTCATAAAGTGAAGCTTCCTGGTTTACTTTGTGACTGATGAATAATCATTTAGGCAGGCAATATCGCTTGAAACTGAAAGGAACTGCCAGTTTCAAAATAAGACTTTCCCATTTCTCTTCTATGAGCTGAAAGGCAACCCCCTAGATGTCAGGCTTCGAAATGCAGCTGCTCATTTTGACAGGCTTCTTTTTCAGAAAGTCTTAACATTCATATTACTGTTTGGAAGCATTGCACCATCTAAACAAAGCCAGATATTTTATTTGTTAAGTCAAGTGAAAAAAGCTGTCTTCCCTTCTCCAGTGAGCTGGCAGGAATTGAGCAAACATCAATTTTGCTTTTCTTTTCTTTTCCCTGGAAGCTAGTACAATACTTGTGAAAGAAAATCTTTGATCAGCATGTCTGGAAATATAAATCTTCTATAAAAATATAATAGTGGTCTTATTTAGTGGCCACCAAAAACAACCTAATTGGTTTACACCAATACTAGGAGGGTTTGACCCCTAGTATTTTTTTCTTAATAGCAGCATGTCCTGGGGCTTTGAGAAATGCTCACAATGACATGATCTATTGATTAATATTTCAGGGTAACCATTGTGTTTTCCTCTGGGTAACTTTCCCTACAAGGCAGTAGCTAGAGAAAAGGCACATGTATTGCGTGTGATGTCGGGGGGAAGATTTAAAAGTCATCAAAGTCTATATTGCCACATACCACTTCTATAAATGTAGATCTGATAGATAAAGATTTCTTTGGGTAAATGATCTAAACCCAAAATGTATTTATATTTCTTTTGGCGTTCCTACTATAATTTTTCCACTAAGGAAAGAACTAGACATGGTAAACACATTTATTTTTCAGGTGCCATAATGCAATTCTAAGTATGAGAAGTTTCATATTCCATCTTTAACCCATGCCACCTTTAACCCTTTATCCATTCTTCTTTTACTGCCTAGAATTAACAAACCTGCAGGAATAATGTTTGGTCTCCCATTGAATAAACTATTAACCTCTGGAGTAGTTTTCTCTGCTCCTAAAAATGCAGGATCATCTTCAAGTTATCATCAATATCCCTGAGAAATAAATCTCCATGGATAATTCCGTTGTTCTGTAAATGTTTAACTTTACATACATTTTCAAAACGGATTTGTAATCAGATTCTATTTGGCATAGTATTCTTTTCTTTCAATGCAATTCAGAGGCATAGTTATATTAGTTTGGCCTGTGAGTGTACAAAGGAATCTTCTATTACATTAAGACACCAATTGAGAGAAAGTAGTAATATAAGCTTTTATAGACTTGAAGTATAATTTATTTAGTTTTATCCCATTTTAACTGGCATACTTTAATGCTATGGAATCCTAGTAATTGAAGTCTGATGAGGTATAGCACTCCATGGCAGAGATGGCTGAAGACCTTGTAAACCTGCAGCTCCCAGGATTCCATAGCATAGAGCTATGGCAGTCAAAGAGGTGTCAGATTGCATTTGTTTCATTGTACAGGCAGTCCCTGAGTTACAAATATCCGACTTACAAATGACTCATACTTAAGAATAAGGACGAGACAACAGGAAGTGAGAGAAATCTACCCCTCAGAAGGGAAATCCACTCCTGAGAAAGTTATTATCACGGGGGAAAGGGGTCTCCACTGAAGCTTTATCACCAATCTTTGTTTACACAACAAGCCAATTTTTTTCAAAACCCAATTATTATTGGGACAAAAATCTTTTGAATCAGGCACAGACGGCAAAACAAACAGCACAGTGATATTAACCTTTGCTATCCAAATCATAGTTGATTTACTTTCAAACTTCATGTATTCAGCATACAGGTATATTTCTTATTGGTTGATAGTTTAAACAGTAAGTTCTCTAAAGCATTATGTTTTAGTTTGTCTTTGTTGCATACAGACTAACACTCCCTTTGGTCTAATACATTCCTGAACATTGACTTAATCCAGACTGATTACACACTGTTGCATACTGATTTTACACTAACAGTGACAATTTCATACTGTACTGATTGACTTATAAACTGTACTTCTTTAGATACAAACTCTTACACACACTGTACTGACTTCTAAAATGGAGTCTCAGTCTGAATAGGCCCAGATCTGATCACATGGTCTGCAGTCCTTCCATAACCTCAAACAACATAGTGTGAAGGGAAAACTGCATATCAATATATACATACAACATAGTAAGCAATTGAAATTATATACATAACAAATAACTAGTATAGGAGACTTGTAGAAGGTTGCTATTTCCATCATGTATGCTAGTGAATTCAATGCAGTTTTAGCCAGGTAAGGCTGTGATCTTTTGAGCAGGCTGGTGTGTACAGCTAATAGCCATACCTCAACATACCTTTTCATTGCTTCAGGTGGTTCATTTTAGAGACGAACCCCATAGCCACATGCAACTTTGTAACCCCAACAGTTGCTGACTCTAACCTACCCTTGGAACTGTGTTTGAAGGCAGTCTTCAAACTTCAGTTGGATAAAAACATATCTGCCTCTTTGAGGGACTGAAAAGGAGTATATTGCAGCTCCACTAAAACAACAAAATTGGGGCCTGTTTGTTTCTAAGTGCAATTTAAAGCATAGGTTTCAATGATTTCAGTCCATAGCCTTGGTGCCAGTTAACTAAGGTTGTTCTCACAATTTGGAAACAATGTTTTTGGACTAAAGCTCCAAAATCTTGAAGCTCCTGTTCTGTCTGGGAGGTTGTAGTCCAAGATGATGAGGATGATGACAACAACAACAATGGCAGTATTGACTCTGCTCATGATGATTCTAACTTTTACATCTGTCAGCCTCTGCCTGCTTAAATCTTTGGAGAGTCCTGCTCCACACCTATCACTAGTGAGGCTAGGTTTGCACGAACAACAGAGTGTATTCTGTCCTTGACTTTCAAATATTAGTTGAAATATTGCTCTCACTTGGAAAGGAAGAGAAATTGTTATTTTTTTACTGACACATTTTATTGCCCAGCTGTTTTGTAGTACTCGATAGGTTGGTTTATTAGGCTGGTATTTTAAATTAATTGCTAAGCATTTATTGATAACATATGACAATTTAACATTTTGATTTTAATTGCTTTGTTATTTAATATTGCAAGTTTCTCTAAGTGCCTATCCAGGCTATGGGGCAAGATACAATAAATCTGATGTTACAATATTTTGATCCAGAATCCCTAGTAGTCTTGAAGGTGATGACAATGTTGCCTTCGTGAATCTGTTTCCCCAACGCAGAGCCTAGAAAAGTTACAATAACCATGTTGCCTTAGGATGTTTGGGAATTGTGGTCAGAGGAAGTCTCTTTTCCCAGCTGTATTCAAACAGAATTTGTCACAGAATTTGTCGCATTGTACCCATGGAAGTTTGTGAAACTGCTTAGATGATATGTCCATTGGCCATAGATTTTCATCTTGGCCAAGAAGCAGCTCTCAAGCCAAGATCTTTTTCATCAGTTCATTCATGCTGAAGAATTACATAGCACTAGCATTCCACTACCTTGGTTCCATCCTATGCAATCCTGGGGCTGATACCTGCTTAGGCACCAAAGCTCAATGGCTAAAAATTGTAAATTCCCTTCCCTGAACTGCAAATTCCAGGATTCCATAGGATGAACCCTTGGCATTTAAAGTTGAAGCATAGTACTGCAACTATGGAATCCATATGTTTGCAGTGGATGGGACAAAAAGAGCATGGAAACATATTCCCTTTTTGGACTAAAAATGGAACCTTTCACGTTGAAGCAAAATGTGATACCAATGCACAGATGAACACATGTAGAGACACAAACTAGGGGTTCTGGGGTGAGGGAGAAGCTTTAATTTCATCCCAATCCCTATAATCCAAGTCAGGATTACTGAGGTGGGTTTCAGGGTTTAAACTTGTCTCTCTTCAAGCCATATTTATTGCAGTTACTGAGAGGGTGCGTAGGCTAAAGCTTCTACTCCATCCCACCTCAATGACTTTGATCCATAACTTGCTAGTCAACACATGCACACCGCAATTCTGGCCCTATCAGGGTAACTGGAAGGAGTGGGAAGCTAAAGTTGGGGGTCAGAGAATGTAAGACACCACATTTTCAAGTGATTTTGGCAAAAAAAATATTAATCCCCTCAAAATTTAAATAGAGGGAGCTTCTGGGGTTACTTACGGGTTACTTAAGGGCTCTTGGGGCTGCATGCAACCTGCAAGCTGCTCTGTGCCCACTCCTGTTGTATATATAGTCCTTTCTGGGTTTCTCTAGATGTATTCTCAAACTTCACAAAATGAACTTCTTAGTTGTTTTGATCCTTGATCTTTGTCCCAAAGATGTTTAGAAATATGCTAAAGTTCAACCTAAATGCTTTGAATGGGGCTGAGGTCAAGCAAATGGCTTGTAATACTTTTTGTTCTGTATTACCTTCAGACTCACTCTTGGGGGAAAGGGAGGACGTAAATTAATTGATTGATTGAACTTTGGTGCTGCTTTTAGTTCTTGCTTGTTACATTTTCTGCCCATTGGTTGCATTCTTTGTGTGTATATGTGTGATACTAATGATTTCCATTTTAAAACTTGAACAGAGCAAGCTGGGAGGAGAACAAAGGGAAGGCGAAGTGACCCAAAAAGAAGAGGAAGAGACGATAGGAAAAGCAGTCCTGAGAAGAAAGAAAAAAGGAAATCAGGAAATGAGTTGGTACTAGGACAGCTGGGTGAGTTTGATACAGAAATGTCCGAATGTTACTGGGGAGGTTATGTAATACAAATTTAATAATAGGCATAGTACCACATCTGAACTCTATTAATATTTTTAAAACATTATTTTTAAACTATTAGTACTCTGTGCATATTAGCCTTCATTAAGGTAAGGGGTGTAGTATTCTGTAACTTGCCAGCTATATCACAAAACTCTCTCTGGGCACAGTGTTCAAGCATGTGATAAATATAAGTGGCACACAGGGCTGGAATTAATTATATGGCAGTCAGGTTCCAGGTTTTGTTCAGACATGGAAGCTGCTGCAGTTTCTCTAATGCAGTGTTTCTCAAACTATGCTCCTCCAGATGTTTTAGGATTTCAGTTCTCACAATTCCTAACAGCTATTAAAACTAGCTGGAATTCCTGGGAGTTGAAGTCCAAAACACCTGGAGGAGCAGAGTTTGAAAAACACTGCTCTAGTGGATGACCTATGCCTGGGAAGAACACAGAATCCATGCCTGAGACATCATTCATTTTACAGGATCTCTCAACAAATTTCTTTATTATTCAGTGTGGTATTCTACTGGTTAGACTGCCTGATCCCCTGATTGGGGTGACTGTGTGAACCCAGTTTCCTTCTCACCTTGCTGGTGACTTCCAGAAAGTGGTGCTTAGGAATTGGTACTTGATGTCTTGGCACTGTATTTTGTATTTCTTGTCCTCCATGCTTATTAATTTCTACATAAGACTTCTAGATTGTCTTGAGATTAGGGGTAGGATGATGACACTCATTCTGTCTCACTTACATATTGTTCAGATGAGGCTATTTCCTTAATCTCTGTTCTGGCAACATACATAGGACCTAGACTATCAAGGCAGAAAATCCCACAATATCTGCTTTGAGATGGGTTATCTGAGTCCACACTGGCATATATTCCAGTTCAAAGAAGAAATTGTGGGATTTTATTCAGCTGTGTGGAAGGGCCCTCTGATCTGTTTTCATACATAGTTCAAGAGTATGGCACATCTTTAAATCCTATCCATATTTTTGTACTCACTCTTGTCTGAAAGCCTATGGAGCAGTATGCAAACATAGAGATTTCTTATGCCAACAGTTTCACTTTCTGTACACTCACATAGGGAAGCAGGAGGAGGAGCGGACTGTCAGTTGCATTCCACCATGTTTCTTGAATGCATGAAAGTTGATAGAAGCTCATGGGGCCATAGCAGTAGGGGTGGGCTTGGCTTTGCCAGTTGCCTGTGCCATGGACAGAAAACAGGTTTTGGGTGTCACTGGAGAGCAGCAAATTGTTTGCTATTTCATATGTTATTGTCATATTTTTACTGCTGAGCATGAAGGAGTAAAAGACCCTCTTTATGAAGGAGTAAAAGACCCTCTTATGAGATATTCTGCTTTACATTCTGCTTTTTGGATTATGTGCCCTGACTTGCTTTGGCAGGGAATTATACGATGCTCTGCCTCAGGCAGCTAATTGTCTGAGGCTGGATAACTCAGCCTCAGTTATCCAGTTAGTAGATAACTCAACTCCGTTGAGTAGATAACTCAGTTAGTAGATAACTCAACTCCATGATTAGAGTTGCCCATGTGTAAGCTGAGGAAGGGCAAGAACCCATGCAGAAGACTTCCAAATGCCATTGCCCACACTCCTGGCTGGGTATGATGGAAAAGAGAAAAAAGGGAAGCAATCAGAAAATGGTGAACAAACCAAAATGCACCACATAGATAGGACACACAAAGCAAAACAGAGGATGGGCAGGCTGGAGTGAAAGAAATAAAAGTAAGAGATGGGAGGGAACACTGAAGGGATGAACAAACAAATGAGGCATAAGCAAGGCATGTTGGGAAAGGGAAAAGAGAGACAGATGTGAAGTTGTGAGAAGTACTACCCTCCTCATTCATGAAATATGATCAAGTTTGTTGTGATCCCTCATTTACCTAAGGTTGTTAGGATTCTGTGTTCAGCCACTATGAAACATTTGATGTAAATACTTGGCCACATGATTTCAATGTAGACATTACTCGATCAACATGTCTTAAATATGGTGTTATCTCTTTCGCTTGTAGTGTTGCGTTAGTCATTCTGAAACCTGCTCACCTAATTATCTTGCCAAATATCTTAAATGTTCTTTAAAACTTATGATTTAACTTAAAGCAAAATTGAAACCAAAGCAATAATTGAATGTATTTCTTCTGAAGCATTTCTGAAGTCCACTCCCCTCTATTTTTCTGTAGGTTTGTCATCTTCCTTTCCCATTGATGGGACGTTCTTCAACAGCTGGCTGGCTCAATCTGTTCAGATCACCACAGAGAATATGGCAAGGAGTGAGTGGTCCTTGAACAATGGCCATCATGAAGACACCACTCCTGGCCTTTCTGAGGAGCTTTTACAGGATGAAGAGACTCTCTTAAGTTTCATGATGGATCACTCCTTGAAAGCTCCACTGAAGCAGAGTGACACAACTAAGAAAGGAAGAAGCAAAATGCGAACACACACTAGGAAAAAATCTACACGAAATGGCTTGAATGCCATATGTAAGAGACATCAAGAAGATGATTCAACTCAGTGGACTAGTGTAAATCATTCGCCAGAAAACACCACAAAATCCCATGATTTCAGAAACAACAAAGCTGAGAAAAGTGTGGACAGACTCCAGCAAGAGCGTAGAACGATGTGTGAAGTGAAAAAGACAGCTAAGAAGAGCTCTTTGCATCCAGCATCTCCTCTTCCAAAAGGAGATGATTCTCAAGCATCATCCCAGAGCATCATGAGTAAAATAAGTGATGATGAGGAACCAGTGAGATACGTCCCTTCTGATCCCAACACCCTGCTTAAAGTGCCTGATTCAGTGGGTAGTCTGAAAACAGTGGTGAGGTTCAAATTACCAAAAGAGGGCAGAGGGACTCGGCGATCACAGAGTGAGAAGCCTGAGATGGTTAATGGACCTTCTGGAAGTGACAGATCAAGAGTTTTCATACACCGGTTTGACAATGAAACTGATGGCTACTTCTCAGATGCAGAAATGAGTGACTCTGATTCTGAATCAGGCAGTGGCAGAGGGCATCATAGCCAGTTAGAGTCAGGAAATGAGGATAATTTCCGAATGAGTATCTTGGCATCCTAATGCACCACATAGACCAAACATGAACGAGAGCTCTGTGAGGCCTAAATCCAGTTATAACTGCCATGTCCAATTTCCGCCTGGTATCATAACAGAGGGTTTGAGTTTTTTGTTTGTTTGTTTGGATTTTTTTGTTTTTAATTTGTATATATAGTTCAGAAATGAGCACTGTTGTTTTTCCTCTTCTCTGTATGCCTGAGAAACAGCTCCAAGCTTCACTGACCTAGACTTGTATACTGTAACAGTAGTTGGCCCTTCTTAGTCAAATCCTACATATCCTGGTTAACAAAATGCAAGCATGTGCATTATTAGGGACCTTAGGCTTGCTGGTAGTCAGCAGGACATCCTAGAATTTCAGTGAGGAAGCCTGGTATTCCCAATACCTGTTGTTCATGCAAGGAATAACAGTTTTATGGGCATTATTTAAATTAAGCAAATAGATTCTGTGTTCTGCCTGGTGTTACTGCCACTGTTTGGTGGCGTGGAGAATGGGAGTACTGCTACGGTAGCCAATAATATACACAGATCTTAATGAGAAAGTAAATATATATGTTTGTGTGTGCATGTATGTCAGTGTGTGTGCAACTATGAAGTAAAATAAGCGACTATTTTTAAAGAAGCACAACAAGCTTATTTGAAGAAAGCACTTAATGGGTGGAGAAATACAACAGTGTATTTGTGGTCTACTAAATCCTTGATTTTTCTTTCTTACCTCTCTGGTTTAATCAAAGTCCGTCCAAGGGGCTGAGAAGCAAGATTTAGCCCTGTCACTCCAGCTATCTGCTGAGCAGCCCTATAAATATTCATCCAAGGTTCGCCGTAGATAGAAGAAATCACATATCTTTGTTAAAGCTGCTCTGCTTTCTAATCGGTATCTCCCCTGAGTAACTGGGGGTCTTACTTACTGTTGAAACCTAAGGTTTTGGCTACCTGAAGCAGTTTTTGCAATTTCCTCAGGTTGTTTACAGTAGCCTTGTACTAAAACACTTGGGCCCACATAGAGAACAGAGGAAGAAGAAGGAAATTATTCAAACTTGTGTTTTTCAAATAGTAATAATAATCCAATAGCTTCAGTTCCTAACCTTGTAAAGGAGGTCAGGTTTTTACTTCCAGCATAAAGAGGCAATGTATGGCTCAGCTGGAGCTAATCATATATGCTTCCTGTATATGGAAGGGATCATTCAGTTGTAGACTTACCATTGAAACATAATTGAGGAATTTATCTCTTTCCATTTTTTTCCTAGAGTCTATAACTAAATTGATGGCTTCTGCCCTTTCTATACTTCCAAGTGAAATCTTGAAAGCAAGCTGCTGCCCCATCATAAGATGGTGATTTAAGGGAGTGGGCATCTAAAAATTTCAATAGTGTTGTCCATCAGTTGTCTCTAATAAGCCTTAAGTGTTGTTCAAAAACTCATCATGTTACCTGTGAGTCATGCAGATTTCCATGTTTGCACTCAATGATACCATTACTCCCAATTTTGACTTCAAAGGTCACCGTTAAAAGTTTTCTACATGCTTTATGGGAGTGACCCCAGTGTGAGCTCAGGGAACACAAACAAAAAGGAAAGTGAAGTTCACTAAAACCTTTTGTTGTTGGTATGCTACTTTAAATATGTGTGTGTGTATGTTTGTGTACGTATATATACACTGGGACACTTCCGCTTGTTAACCCATCTCTTTTAAACTGGGGGAGACGAAGACTTTGCAGTTGTTCAGATGAATCAGTGAAATTATTTTATGGATGCCAAAGAATATTTTGAGAATACAATAGCACAGCCAGAAACTTGTTATTTGAAAACAAACACAAGAATGAAAGCTGTTCAGCTACAAAAGGACTCAATCCGTGCTCATGACACAGCTAAGGCATTCGGTTGCAAGCTTGCTGAAGACGATGCTTTCATTGTTTGGACCATCTCCCACTGTTTGATTTCTGATGTTCTTTGCTCATTCTAGTCTGGGCAATGTTGGTTTTATTTTTCTCTGATGCTATACATTAGCTGTTCTTGGAGGGTTGTTTTTTTTAGAGAGATGGAGAAAGAAGTCATTTTCAAGCCTTCCAACATGCTCAATATCCCTCCAGTTGAGTTACAATTTGAAGAATATTTAATTGGAAAAGAAACCAAAGGCAAGAGCCAAACAAACACCAGTGTTTCGCTGATTTCAAATGGTTTTTTCAGAAGCACTGGTGAAATGGAACACAATTTGACCTTAGCCTGTGTTTCGGCAAGTAAATTTTGCTCCTTAACCAAGGCTTGATATGCTCAGATAATGTTAAATACAGTAAATAGGACTTAGTTTTATCTTATCAAGCTTGCTAGGCTTTAGCTACAATATCCTAGTTATGTCATACAAATAATCAATATGCTGCCTTTTAATGGAGCTTGCTTCCGTGTGCTTCAGTTCAACTATAGCTATGAAAAAAGCAGAAAAAAAATCCAGAAATCTCACTGTACACAGTTTCATTCATCAGCTACTGCATTACTTGCCTGCTCATTCACTACAGGACAGATAAAGGGACAACCTTTAAAGAGCAACCAAACTTAAGCAGCACCTGTTTCTGCATTTGGATTCTGTATAGAACTGTGAGATACTCCATTGTTACTGTGAATGAGAAGTAACTGTGAACCAAAAACCAAAAAAGAAAAGAATATAAGAAGACAAATTACTTCACCTTGTGCTAGGATCTACAGTGCATTGACAGCATTCTCTGCACAAAATGTTCTTTATACACTATGGGATTATATCTCTGGGCTTTCCCTCAGAATTAGAGAGAATAGGTTAGGCTCTGCTTGTGCGGGATTCCATACAGCCCAATGAAGTCTGGGTCATAATCCCTTGCTATATAATTACAATGTTGTAGCTATCGTGATTTTGCAATTTAGCAATAAAGGGGGACACATTGGACATGGTTGTGCAGAAGGAAAAAATGACAAAAAGAGAAAAAGCAATTCTTTTAAGATTGTTATGAGTTTTCCAGGCTGTAATTCAAAATATTATTTTGGAATTACTAGAATTTCAACTGTTCCTAAACAGATTAGATACAGAACTGATTGTATCCAGTGGTGACCTTCTGTTTTCAGAAGTGGCTTCAGTGGAGAGGCAAAGGAAAGTGCTTTTCACTGTCTGCCTTCTGTATTGTAGTTTATTGGAGGTTGTAATAGATCAGTGATTCTCAACCTGTGGGTCCCCAGGTGTTTTGGCCTACAACTCCCAGAAATCCCAGCCAGTTAACCAGCTGTTAGGATTTCTGGGAGTTGAAGACCAAAACATCTGGGGACCCACAGATTGAGAACCACTGTAGTAGATGAAGCCATGATTTCTTGAAGCCCCCTGAATCCATGTCCCTTGTATGAGCAAAAGGGCACCACTGGGTCTAACTCTGTCAGTAGGGTACATGCACCTTCCCCCTTGTTGCTTTGGTGAAATATGTACGTTTATATGAAACTGCTGATAAATGTCTAGGTTTGTTGTTTTTTAAATGCATTTGGACTGTCAGTGATAAGTTCAAATGAGTGCCTTGGATGCAGTTGCAGTCTGGAATTGTCAAGGTTGCCATGCAAAGAGTGTCTTCACTTCTGTAAATGTAGCACAGAGGTGTTGTAGTCGAACCATCTCTCGGAAGTGGTCCATGTGGTTGGTTAGTCCCCACTGGACCTTGAGTTTTGGCCTCTCCAACTGATTGCATGAGGAAGCTGCTTGTGGCTCAAAGGCTTACCTAGGAAAAGGGACTGTTTTCTTACTGAAGATCCAGGTCTGCCGTATTTTAAATAAGATCCAGTACTCATTCATTGACATGTTTTTCCACAAGTGTCTCTAGGATCCTGGATGTTTAGTTCTACTCAGTTGACGTATTACTCAAAGTTTTTTTAAGAGCTCTAGCCTACTTTTGGTATTTAGCGTCTGCGTTATTCTTGCAGAAACAACAACAAAGAAGAAATATTTTTTGCATTGTAAATGTATTTTGTGATGAACAGAAAGGGGCAGGGAAAGCATAAATGATCTATTTTATTAAATAAAAGACTTTGGGATGATGTCTGACCTTCAAACATCGACATTTGCACTGTATAGGATGAATCCCATTTGTTTCGGGAAAGCAACACCATGCTTCTGTATTAACATGTCAATGCAGTACACAGTTTTGGTTCATCCGTGAGAATCAAACTCTGTTTTAGAAACTTCAAAGCTTAATAGAATTTCCTGAAGAAAAAAAATGGATTTATTTTCATGTTCACTTTCCAGCCTTCTTTGATTGGCTGTCTTGTGGCAGAGTTCTGATAGTTTTGTCGATTGTTAGATTTGTTGATTTTGAAAAAAGTTAAGGAAATGAATCTTTGGCCAGTGCTTTTCCTCAAAGTTCAATGGAGAATTCGCCATTTCTGCTGAAGGAAAAGGGGAAGCATTGAATCCTACTGGTCCTTCCCTTTGGCTGCTCAAAATCCGGTCTTTCCATTTCCTCTTGCCAGATATGTGTGTTGATTTGGTTGTTCTTTAAGGAAACTCTTGTATACTTTGCTCCATTCCACACAGACGCAAAACAGGCCCACTCCGTATCACTTACAGCAAACGATATGAATGTCACAGAAGGCGTAAAACCCTTCTGTTTTCTTTGTTTCAAAGAAAGTGATGTGCCATTTGTTAATATAAAAGAGAAATATTAAAAAATATATTGAAAAGAGCAATTTTAAATTATTTTTGGCTTATGTTGCGATATTTATTTTCTTGTATTAGAAATTCCTTTGTAGAGAAAAAATGTATTTTTCATTAATGCGAAAACCTATTACTCCTTTTTGTACATTTTCCATGTTAGTTAATCCTTAAAGCAATATAATGTATCAGAGTTGTTCTGTGTGAAAGCTGTATTATGCATGCTGTTTGTGTTGCCTTGGAATAGGTCCGTTTGCCATAATTTTCATCATGTTTCGATTCAGTGTGTGCTTTAATACACATTGGGACCATGGCCCATTTGCTTATGAAAAAAGGAATACCTTTGCATTCTTCAGTGTGTTGGCAAATGCAGTCAATAAAGCCGTGTTTTCTGTGTATTTTTGCCTGAATATTGAGAACTCAAGGGGGTCGATGCAGCTTACTATCAAAGGGAGTCCCTTGTTCATACTCCCATCAGTCCATGGTAACAATAAACCTTAGAATTGTTAACATCTATGCAATACTAAATTAGTTTCCATTAAGATAGCAGACATAATTAGATTTTAATTCCTTAATGGTGGGGCCACCCTGGACATTCTCCCACCCTGGACATTTCACAGATATATAAACCTCACTTGCCTAGTTTCCAACAGACCTCACAATCTCTGAGGATGCCTGCCATAGATGTGGGTGAAATGTCAGGAGAGAATGCTTCTGGAACATGGCATACAACCCGGAAAACTCACTGAAACCTAATTGTTGTAAGTCTTCACCATGATATTCCAACTCAGTGGGAAACCAATGGCAAAATCTGTGCCTACCTTTGCTTTAAATGCTTGCTTACTTACCAATGGAAGTAAGAAAGGAAGGCTGGAAACACACACATCATAAGTTCGGCTTGAACGATACTGCCATATAATCCAGTTTCTGAATCCAGATTATCTGCTTTGAAATGGATTATATGAGTTCGCACTACCATATAATCCAATTAAAAGCAGATTATCTGGATTTGGAAACTAGATTATATGGCAGTGTAGATGGGGCCATAAAGAGCTGTGTTGGATCAAATCATCAAATTCCAGGATCCTGTTTCCACAGAGGTGAACTAGTCCTCTCTTGAAAGCTCAGAAGCAAGGTATGAAGCTGGTAGCCTTCCTATTCCCCCAAGCCTCATGTTGGCAGGTAAACATTTCAATGAGTGCCAGATATATGAACACTAGGCATGGGTAAAGAGAGGCCATGTCAGTGATGTTATTGCAGCTTTCAATAAATTTAGATCCTCCAGATGCTTGTTTTTCTGGATGAAACAGTTTCTGCAAGGTGGAAACGTGTAAAGGCACACAAGACACTCAATTCTGAAATGGTTGAGCAAATGAGGACATCTCTACTAGGGCTTATAAAACAGAAAAAGCAAAATAACAGGAAAAATATACAAGAGGATAGAGATCTTCACTCACTATATCTGTGTTTACATAATACCCTGAGGCATTAAAGTCATGGACATTTATAACAGCTCAATTTACTTACTCTCTCACTTGCCACGTGACTTTCAAGTTACAGGAATATAATAGTCACATCCCAGGAGTAAAAAACATGAACTGACTCCCATGTCAGTTATATCAAGCAGGACATAAACAAATAGCCCACAAAAAAAGTTCTGAGTGTATTACTTGAATAAAGACAGGCAAAAATGAATGCCACGATCTTTGGTTCTTTTATATGGAAATATGTCCTATCATTTCAACAAAGCTTACGTGCAAGTAAGTGTGTTTCAAAGTATATTTATAATGCCCACAATACAATGTGATTTAAAATTTTCCTAGTAGATATGAGTATAGCTTTCTCTGCATCAAGTTGTGGCCAACATGTAAAGCCAAATGAGTGCTTAGCATTTCATATTAGGTGAGGGTGTTCCTTTGCCTTACTCCTCACTTTCTAAGCATCTGAGGGGAAATGGTTTTCAGATCTCCAAGACGGAGATGGATCAGTCAAAAGGTATCTCAAGAGACTAGAGCTGGATCTACATTGCCATTTAATCCAGTTGAAAGCAGATAATCTGGATATTACATGACAGTGTAGATGGGGCCTGAGAATTCTGCCCATGCTGGATGGAGTTATGTCTACCTCCATGAAGATGCAGGTTCAAAACTTAGGAGTAACTTAGGGCAAGCAAATGAGCAGCAAGCAAGCAGGCAGCAAACAGGCGGCGAGTGAGCAATATTGCATGTGCCAGGAGAGAGGGCTTAGTGCCTCTTCTGGCACCGGTGCCATAGGTTCGCCACTACTGCTCTAGAGTGTAGAATTAATGGAGCTTAACACCATTTCAACTGTTATGGTTCAATGCTATGTCATCCTGGGAGCTGTAGTTTTACAAGGTCTTCAGTCTTCTCTGCCAAATAGTGCTGGTGCCCCACCAAACTACACCCTCCATGATTCCATGGCACCGAGCCATGGCAGTTAAAGTGGCGTCAAACTCAATTCTACAGTATAGATGCACCCTGAATCTGGAAGCTCGGGTTTCAGTAATGGCCAGGATTACATTTGCACAGTTAAGATTTATGGTTTCCCTGAGTCATCAGATCTAGTCACAATTATACATGCCTTAGTCACATCCCAGTTGGATTACTATCTGCCTTTGAAGATTGTTTAGAAGCTTCAGCAGGTTTCGAAGAGCTACAGCCGGATTCCTAACCAGGTTGGCTATAGGCAGCCTACAACATTTGTTGCCACAGATCCACTGGCTGCTGGTTTCTTTCAGGTACACTTAAAATGCTAGTTTTGACCTCAAAAACCCAATACTGCCCAGGCCCAGTTATTTAAAGGATTATGTTCTCCCTTATGAACCCGCTCATGTTTTGAAGTGTCTTGGGGAAGTCCTTCCTTCCGTCCCACCACCCCCACAGGCACATTTGGGAAGTCTGATCTGGCCACAGTGGTCCACGCTCTTGTTACATCCCGAATAGACTACTGCAACGCACTCTATATGGAGTTGCCCTTGAAGGCTGTTCGGAAACTTCAACTGGTCCAGCGAGCGGCAGCCAGATTGCTCACCGGAGCGACATACAGGGAGCACACCACCCCCCTGTTGTGTCAGCTCCACTGGCTGCCGGTTCAGTTCCGAGCACAATTCAAGGTGCTGGTTTTGACTTACAAAACCCGGTACGGTTCTGGTCCAGTGTATCTGTCCGAACGTATCTCCCTGTACGTCCCACCCTGGAATTTGAGATCATCTGGGGGGGGGGGGCCTGCTCTCGACCCCACCGCTATCACAAGTGAGGTTGGTGGGGACGAGAAGCAGGGCCTTCTCAGTGGTGGCCCCTTACCTGTGGAACTCCCGGGGAAAATTAGGGCATCAACATCCCTCCTCTCCTTCAGGAGGAAGGTAAAGACGTGGTTGTGGGACCAGGCCTTTGGGCAATCTGACAACTA